TATGGTGGCCTATATGTATGTGTGTTTTTAGAGATTTTTCTAAGGGTACCTCAATACATATACACGCATACCTCCCCTAGTAGTAGTGGAAGTGCAGGCATCCACCTTTAACAGTTGACCCAACTTAGAGCCAACCTTTTGCAGTATTTCTTGGTCATAAAATTCAGTGGGAAGCTCCGGTAGGCAAACCCAAATTGCGGAATAAGTTAGTTGTGTGGCTTAAGCTATGAATTTGGGCTCCCATTTACGAACAGATAAAAATTGATTCATGATGAACCATGGGCCTCCATGTAGAGCTTTAAACATGTTTTTTTCCTTTTGGAATTTGATAAGGAAGAAGTCAGAGCCAAGATCGATTAAAGGCAGATCTTCATATGGGTTCTATAAGGATGTTAGTTTATTTTTTAATAGTTGATGGGCTATCTTCCTACCAAATACTTTAATTATAATCGAGTATTTCCAAGGAGAATATAAACGACATTTATCCTTTGCCGTTATAGGATAAAGATATCATCTTCGTTATGACTGTGTAGACTTTCATCTGATAGGTCAAGTGTAGACTTTACAGTTGATGAAGTAATAGTAGTAGTTGACAGTATGTGTTGGAGAGTAAGGTCTGTAGAAAAGATGCAGGAGGTGTGATTGGGGTATGATCATCTATTTGCATTGTGATAATATCGGGTGGTTCAGTTATGGAGTTAAGGGAATCCGGGTGTTGAATTGAGTCAGACATTGATGAAGGATTTTCAGTAGATGTTTGTTAAAGTTGGTTGAATTCTTGTAGCTGAAGGAAAGAAATTTATGAAGGAAATCGGTAGTAAAGTTAAGGTTCCTATTAGTACTAGTGAGGGTATGCCTGGGCTAAGCCCGGGCCCAACGGCTAGAGTGAAGCTTGACGTTAACAGATCCATTGGAATTATCAAAACGAACAGAAGAAGACAATAGAAATTATACAAATTGTGAGGTTTCCTTCCTGAACTAATAAGCATGGCGTAAACCTGAAAGCACAAAAAGTGGCAAGATTGCATGCAATTTGTCGTTTCCCTGAACATTCATAAACAATGTCTATATGAAAGTGTCTTGATCTCAAGGAAGAACAGATTTACAAGAAAATACAACGGAACAATCAATTGAAACGTAGAAGAAATAGCACCTTCAATTGCAGAAGATGGAATCTAAAGGCACTATGTCTGTAATATGCAGGGAGACGGATCTGTTGTCATACATCAACACCTAACAAGGAATTAGGGGAGGGTTTATGAAACTTTAAGAATAAATAAATAAATAAATAATCATCTAACCATATAGATATATAGTTAAAGAACAGTTTGGTAACCCGAGATAATGAATATTGATGCCAAATAAAGCATGCACGTCGACATTAGAAAAGATGGAAACTTACTCTTTGAGATAGAAGCATATTGTAACCTGGTAGACTTGATCAATTTGGACTGAAGTCTACAACTTCATTATGAATGTTTTGCAGGCATAAATATTGTTGGGAAAACCAGAGATACCTAAAAAAGCTTACATATTAACAATAGTAAATAAAAACTCAAGAGTTAGGTACATGTTGGAAGAATTTGTGTCAAGGGTATAAGATTCTGTGTTTCTGTTAACAGCTCTTTCAAGTACAGATTACAAGAAACTAAAACACCCAAAAAATAATATAATTTGCTAGAGAATCAATCTTGAAAAAAGTTTTTAACCTTAAGTTTCAAAAAGAAAAAAATGCCAACTCTTGGTTGGTCCTAATATGAGAAGAAACAACTCTAGCAAGTGAGAAATTCAAGTTATTTACCACAAAATATAATTGCTCCTACAGTAACAGTTCTTTCTCAATTAGATGTGGTTGTATAGCAAAAGCAACATCACATATAATAAATAGGTTACGTGCTCTAAACTACCAATATCATCAAATCATTTTATATCAAGGTCACACCACAAGCTCATAATCTAAGAATAAACTAATGTCTCTACAAATAAACCAATTCAAAACAAATAGAGATCTCTGTAGGCTTTATACCATTGAGAGACAATAATTGATTCCTGATATAAGTTATTGGAAGAAAAACCTTGGATGAAGAGAAATAATCACGATAGGACAAATACATCAGTAACAATACATTCCAGGATAAGAAGTGAAAGAATTAGCTAGTAAAATTTTGAGATGCCTGCTATACAATAGAATAAAATTGAAAGCAGCTAATTATTGCTAGGTTTTTCTCAAGAGGAGGAAATAATTTGGTGGCTATGCGTTACATGGCAATCTTTGCAGCACTGCGAGTTACAAAAATAATAAAAAATACATAAATAAAGAGTACAATTCTAGAATGTTATGTTACCTCATCTTTAGTGTCTAAGTTCCAACCTATTCACTGTAATCCCTTCTACTACAGGCTTTTCATGCTGCCTTAGCTGACAAGAGCATTGATGATCATGGAAAGAGTTATAGTTGGTTATAAGTTTCTTTTCTGCTTGTCTGTAGCTCCAACTCCAGTTTCTACGTATTAAATAACCTAATCAAGCACAAAACAGTCTAAATATAAAAAGCATCTCCTAATAGAAGAATTATGAGTACCAGTATACTAAGGAGGTACTGGATCAGTTGAAAACCTATTTAATTTGATCGTGCACTTGTCGCGACCACTTTTAATATCAGCAAGACCATTCTTGAGATTCTTTTTCTTATACCGCAGCTAAATTTTATGTGACTAAATAGTAAACACTAAGTTACCTACATGTATATATCAATTTATGCTAATGGGGCATATCAGTTAACAGATAAAGTTATATACAGAGTTTAACTTTTGAGTATCATCTGCACCCAGCTGTCTTACAACCATGTCATAGACAAACAGCAAATAAAACAAAATATAAACCAATCAATAACTCTTTAGCTTTGAAGTGAGTAGTGAATGCATCATTTTGACGTGTACAGATCTTCAGAATTGTCAGTTATTCTCAATTAGGTGCTCCAGGAAAAAAATGAGAAACACAATTATATGCAGAACTTTCAGATAAGCAGATATGGTACATTAACATTGGGGACTATTTGCTCTGCATATATTTGCACTCTTGTGGAGAATGAATACAGAAAAAGATGGAATTTCATGTCTCAAATGACATGGACTGTAAGATCAATGCAAGTTTATAGTTTAACATGCTTGAAATCCTGGGATTACAAACCATCAAAAGTCAGATAAATACTACTTCTCCTGGAGCTAGTTCTTAGTTTCTCATAGATTAAAGCATGTAAGAATCTATAAGAATACGGAATAATAGTCCAAACTTGCAAGGCTAAGGTAAATTTTTATATGCACTAATTACTACAGAACACCTGCCAAACTACTGGTTATGCAGGTTCATTTCATTAATCATGTCATCTTGTCATCTTTGAAGGTCATTACTGTCTGTCTCTGTCTTTTTTCTTTTCTGATGGAAAAGTAAACTTCATTCTGTGTACCAAGTTGGTGCCAAATATGTACAACAAAAAAAGATCTCTATCCTCTCATGGCTGTAGAGAGCTAGGAAAATCTACAAAAATTGTTTACATCCTGGGAGCATCTTATAATTACACCAAGAATATTAAAAACTGCAATGATTTGAATTGAACACAAGGTAAGACCTGTTAAGTATTTTAAAACGACTATAATATCTTTCCACGTTGTCCAATAAATGCACGAAGGAACTTATTATCGGATGCCTTTGTGAATGTGAGAGGACATCAAACATCTAAAACGACGGTGGTATGTTCCAAGGCATCTATGGTACTACATGAATTATTATATTACCGGTCCATTCTGCTCAATGTAAACCAGCAATTGAGAAGACGTCATGCTACGCCTTGTATCTACCAGCCACCTTTAACTACATAACCGATGCAAATAAAATAAAACATCAAGTAATTTACCAGAAAATATAATTGCTCCTACAGTAACAGTTCTTTCTCAATTAGATGTGGTTGTATAGCAAAAACAACATCACATATAATAAATAGGTTACGTGCTCTAAACTACCAATATTATCAAATCATTTTATATCAAGGAAAGAGAAATTTTTTAGAAAGTACTCATAATATTTCATGAACATTCAAAATAAAATACAAAGGCAGAGATAGTAAATACCTGTATCGTACTTCAAAATATCGTCAATCGTTTACATCAAATCTGTAGTGTAGAGTTAGAGTAATATCTTTGTTTTGTAAGTCATAAGCATGTTACCTTTCTAGTATGTTAGTAAATTCATGAAAGTACTTTTCGAATAACTTCATCGTAAACTACATTATATGTAGAATGATCATCATGATTATCTGATGTAGGTGGTCGAATCAACAATCTAACACACTTTGAACTTTTAGCTCTCGATAATGCGACATAGAGTTGACCATGTGAAAAAACAGGCTCGCGTAAATAAATACCAACAAAATCTAATATTTGACCCTGTGCTTTATTTATAGTCATTGCAAAACATAGTCGTATAGAAAATTGTATTCTTTTGAATGGAATAGGCACTTTTTCATCATTTGACGCTACCAGTGGTATTCTAGGAATAAATACATGTGTATCCTTAAAATCACCGCTGGCAATTTTAGCGCTTATAACATGCGTTTTGAAATCACAACATGTTAATCATGTGCCGTTACATAACCCTTCACAAGGATTCAGATTTCGCAGTAATATAATTGGACAATTTTTTTTTTAGAGTTATCTTATACGGAGGCAAGCCAGGAGGGTTTAAAGTATGCAGAAAATCTTCAAATTGACTTTGATCAGTGCGTTCAATAGTTTCATCAATAGCAACATATGTCTTTGATGTAAAAGGAAATTTAGCAATAAGCATATCATTTAGTTCATCAACAAAGTCATTTTTTGTTGTTAAAATAACACGAGAAGTTACTGAACATGAATCAGAAAAGAATGTACTTACATTTGGATATGTGATGTTAAATAATTTATCTAAAGATTCTTCTTCAGATGTAAAAGGAATAACTATAGAATCTAGAATTTCAATTTTGTTAGGCAATTGACTTTTTCTGTTCCATTTCCAATTCTCATCAGATATTTACAAAAGGCAGGATCAGTTTTGGCACGCATATTTTCAGATAACTTTAATTTTTCAAGTCGATTCCAAATATTACAATATAACAAGCTTTCACGAATAAAGTCTTCCTTTTTTCCATTTCGAACTACAGGAAGGGTTTGTCTAAAATCACCTCCAAAAACAACGACTTTTCCACCAAATAGTTCATGTGTACCCATAATATTTTTCAAAAGCAAATCGAAGACTTCAATCATCTTACTCTTCACCATTGATACTTCATCCCATACAATCAGCTTTGCATCTCGAATTAAATATGCTAGCGAACTTTGTTTACTAATGTTACAACTGTAGTTTTGATCAATATCAATAGGGATTTTAAAACGTGAATGAGCAGTTCGTCCTCCAGGAAGGATAGAAGCTGCAACACCTGAGCTTGTTGTTGCTAGTGCAATGAATCCTTTAGATCGCACGGTAGCTAACAAAGCACGATATAAAAAAGTTTTCCCTGTTCCTCCAGGACCATCAATAAAGAAGGCTCCCCCTTTATTTGAAAATATTCTGGCAATAATTACATTGTATGCTCTTCGTTGTTCAACGTTCAACTTTTTTTCTAACAATATGTCTGCCTCAGAAACCGTAATTGTTCTTTCAAAGTGAACTTCTTTTGCTTCTTTTGCTTCTCTAGAAGTCCGCATAATTTCAGAAATAAGTTTGTACTCATTAATATTGTGTCCCATCGAATGTAAAATCTCGTTAATATGGCTCAAAACGTTATGTTGAATTTGTTTTGCTTGAAGATCTAGCAAAATCTTAAAGTCTTCTGACATCGGATCTTCAAACCTTTCCCATAAGTCTCTTGGATTAGTAGGACAACAATGTACCAACAATGTAGCAAATAGGCGTCTTAGACTGTAAGGCATCTGATAGCTCACCGCCCCTGACATACAATCAATCAAACTATTATCACAATGTAATAATCCTCTCTTCTCTGCGGCCTCTCTAAATGTATCACAACATACTCCGTTCACTGTTCGTATATCTTCATATGATTTTGGACCTCATATATTCATTAATAATAATCTAAAATAATATCTTTCTCCTTCAGTAGGGTGACATATTACCACACGTCCAATAGTACATTGTAGCTTGCGACGACTCCACATTTTGTCACTTACTGACCACACAAAGTGTTCTGGGAATTCTTTGTATAGCAAGTTAAGCTCAATAGCATCATCATTTGTTTCATTCATATAGAAAAATTCAGTTAGCATCGTTTTTCTAATCATTGGGTTGTTTACCACTGTGTCTATATTTGCAGTGCTTTTAAAAGAAACAAATTGTTGTCCATCAAGATGTAACTGAAGATGGTAAACACTTGGATTCATTTCACTTATAGAGAAACCAAATAAACGCCACATAGCTTCAGGAGGTGACACCCATCTAGCTGATCGATATTCTTTTATTTCATCTATTTCTATAGTTGTGTCATTGTGTACAGAAAATGCAATTTTGTCATGCCCTTTACAAATATATTTGTAGAGATACTTGACGAATTTGATATCTGAACATATTTCAACATTCATGTGACAATTGAACTTACCAAGTAAATAGGGATTATAGGGAACAACCCAAGAGTTGTCTAAAAAGTATCCTCTGACTTTTACCTTTTCTCCCGTATTTCTTCTCCTATAAACTGGGTATGAGTTTTTTCCCTTCGACGTTTGATCAGAGTACTCTTTTGGATATTCAAATTTACAGCAATCGTTTCTTTTCATGCATGAATTAGTAGGATTTAGTTCTCCACATGGACCATGCATCATGTGTTGAAGAACAAGTGAATAAAGATTTGGTTCTGTATCTTCATTGGGTATTTCAACACTGATGATATTATCGTAAGAGTCAGGTGTTAGCAATTTATATTTGTCAGTCAATATGATTAGAAAATGAGCATGCGGAAGACCTCGCTTTTGAAATTCCATGGTATACATAAAAGCAGCAACTTTTCCAAATATGCTTCGTTTCACTATGTCCTTTTTCAATTCTTCTACTTTGGCTCTAAATACTCTACTAATTAAGTCGGGTCTATTTTGAACTTCATCAGTTGATAGTAAATGTTCTTTTATTTCTGGCCAGGATGGGTTGCATGTCATAGTTAAAAATATATCAGGTTTTCCAAATCGTTGCACTAATGCTATAGCGTCCATATATCGTCGACGCATATCCCTTGGTCCACCTATAAATGTAACAGGGAGGAAATTTTGTCTTCCAATGTTAGCAGCTTCCCTCTCACCAAATCTCAAAGCATCGACAATTCCCTGTAACATATCGACTCTGAACAAATCTGGATTAAATGAGGTAAAGTCTAATCTTTGTGTTTCAAGTTTTATATATTCATCTACAGAATATTGCTGAAATAATCTTCCTGTGTGTAAAACATCATCTTCATCGTCATTTCTCATTTGAAGTTTATAACAATAATACTCACGAATTGAAACATTGTCTCTTTTTCGTTTTTTCCGTTGTAGGACATGCTCTTCCATTTCAAGATATCCATCAATTGAACACATATTCCTAATATTTGGTAAGTCTTCATTTTCACAAGAAATAGTTTGTCCATGAGTTCTAGTTGCAGGCATAATTTTTTTAATTCCACAATGCCATCCCCCTTGACCATATGGAAATAATAATGGATACTGTAAAGGATCATAACAACCATAATAATAATTTACTAATTGTGACCTATTACTATTAGTGTAAATTCGAATATGAGGTGCTCGAATAACATTATTACTATTTTCTTCAACCCATATTGCAGCAACTTCTGATGCAGTAGGGAGGTTATATATTCGTTGATCCAAGCTTGCATCACATTTAAGCGCAATATAGAAGTTTGGCAGGTTTGGAACATTAGTCAACGATCTTAAAAAAATAGAATAGGGATTATTTCTCAGCAACTCCATCAAATTTCCGACTATACTTTCATCAATCCTATCGGAACAAGCCATTCTGTTTGCTAGTTCATTATCATTGTCATAGAAGTATAATTGCAGATTTTTTGCCTTTTGGTTCGCAGGGAATAGATCATCTATGAAATGATACATTTGTCCTTGAACTCTAAAAGTATAAATACCATGATTTCTTCTCGCTAAATCTTTGTCGTAGCTCACACCAAGTGATGTAAATGCAAAGATATTATTGTATGTTCTAATGTATGTGCGAAAGCGTTTAGATTCCTCAGTATTTCCTACATATAAATTCCGCAATTCTGTGGGCATTTTGTGTGCAGTTAAGCTGACTGAACCATTGCTACAACAAAATCCAGGAGGTTCAAACTGAAATTTCTTAGCTCGACAGAACTTGCAACGTGAAATTAATTTTAGTGGGACGTATTCTGATCGCATTTGGCTAATGGTTATGTTGCCTGTTTTATTTACCTTTGGACCTGCAGCTACCAAAAGATCACAATGAATAAAAGCAAAGGTAAAGCCAGATTGGTAAGAAATAATACTGCAATATATACTAACCTCTATTCAAAATAGTATAAGAATTCTGATTTTGTTCATTAGTCGTACCAGACGTTGACCCTAGTAGAAGATAATTTTAGGAAATATAAGTAAATATTTTCTCAATTGAAAAATGATGATAACTTTTTCCATAGAGGATTGTACTTGCCTACTTCAAATATTAAGGATGGAAGGGCAGAATCTTTTGCCCTCTCAGATTGGGCTGCCAGCGTAGTGGTACGGTCCATATTAGCTAATAATTGTAACACAAAATGTGGCTAATGTCAAAGTAATTTAATAAGCTTGACGAAATAAGCGTATTTATCAGCACATACATACGAACATGTAGAAAATTCTACACAAAGGCGGAAAACGCACATGCTTAGTATTCTAACCTGTTTTAGATGACATTAAGCGTGCAACATAATTTTTTCCTCGTAGTCGGCGTTTTAGCAGCAGAGCCTGTTTTTCAGTGGATGCCATTTGTTTATACCTCTCACGCCGTTTGAAATTCATTTCTGCATTTCGTTCTGCCTGGTACGAAGAAATGTTTTTGTTTTGAGAATGCATCTGCTTCAATGTACTTCTATCTCCAATTATCTGTAATTGAGACCATGTTAGAGACTACATATTCTAAAGTAGAATGGAGACATCAATAACCCTATCTTCCTAAATCAATGTTGCTGGAGCATATTTAATACCCATTACAAATTGACCCAAATCTATAGCAAATTTTTCAAATTACAGAAAATGCCTCACAATATAGTGTGTTAATGCAAATCCAGCCTTTTCACTTAAGAAACACAAGCACAGGTAAGAAGCCATTTTATGAAAAAGACTTTGAAATGTACTTTTGAATAAGTATGAACTATCAAAATACCAGAGAGCTCTTTGATTAAGGGTTTATATTTATAAATATAGGTTAATTTCTTTTTAATCTAGTCTATAAACAGCACATGCATATACATATATACAGCTCTACCAGCCAATATACTCTACCTCAAAAGTTAAAAATATATATAAGAAAAAAACAAAAATGAGCATATAGTATTCACTCTGTAGGAAAGGTAATACACAAAAATATTAAACAAAAAGTATGCAAGGAAAAATCTTGTAAGGGCAAAAATTTAAAATTATTCACAAGATCAACCCAAAGCAAAAGCCCACAAAAACAAAAGATAAATTTTACGGACCAAAAAAAAACCCAATTGAGAGGTAATTTGCTATTGACCAAATTATTCCCCCAAAAGTATAAAATCAGTATTTATTCCCAAATCAACCAAAAAAATAGAGCAAAAACGGAGAAAACTTATAGAATCCATAATGCTAGCAAGAGTCTAGGAGCCCAAAGAGGAAAGATTAATTTTTATTTCTGATGAAGTTCTGATGGTGGAACCTTGAGGAGAGAAAGAAAAAAGGTTTTCGTTGCTTTTGGTATCACATTAATGGAAAATAGTGTAGTAAAATCTACATAGGGACACAAAGATAGAAAACAGTACAGTTAGATGTACTTTCTTGAAGTATACCTCTTCTTGAATCTTCCAGAGCCTCTCTCTCCCTGTCTCACCTTTTCTTTCTCCTTTGTTACGGATCCTTAGCGTCGTTTCTGGGTTTTCTATTCAGAAATTTTTAATTTGATTCATGTGACGACCCGACCCGTCGTCTCATGTGTTACTGCTCCGTTTCCCCCATTTTATGCTTCTTCATGTTTCGTTATCAGTATGTGGTGTGTGAGAGTTGATTTGGATTGGCTTTGATAAGAAATGAGACACTTAGTCTCTTTAAGGAAGGCTTAAGTTGGAAAAGTCAACCGGATGTTGACTTATGAGTTATAGGGCTCGGATGTGATTTTCGGTGATTCGGTAAGCTTCGGGAGATGATTTATGACTTAGGAGTGCGATCGGAATTTATTTTAGAGGTCCGGTGTAGAATTAGGCTTGAATTGGGGAAGTTAGTATTTTGGCGAATTCCGGTTGATAGGTGAGATTTTGATCCGAGGGTCGGAATGGAATTCCGAGAGTTGCTGTAGCTTCGATATGTGATTTGTGATGTGTGTGCAAAATTTCAAGTCATTCGGATGCCGTTTGGTTGGGTTTTTGATCGAATGCGGGTTTCGAAAGTTTTTAAAGAACTTAGGCTTGAATCCGATGAGAATTGATGATTTTAGTGTTGTTAGATGTGTTTTGATGATTGGAACAAGTTTGGATAATGTTTTAAGACATGTACGTGCTTTTGGTTGGGGTCCCGGGGGCCTCGGGTGAGTTTCGGGGTGGTTTCGGACCATTTCTAGGCCATTTTAACTGCTGGTTTTTGGCTACAGTAGTGTTCTATGCGATCGCGGGGAATTGGTCGCGATCGCGGTAAGTAAAATGTGAGAAATGTGCCAATGAATCGCGATCGCGGAGAAGAAATATCCTGTTGCATTGTTCCCACTTCGGAAGCTTATATCTCACAATCTATAAGGAATTTGGAGATGATCCAAAAAGGAAAATTGTATCCCTTTGTGTCTAATTTTCAGAAACGAAAACTAATTGGAATTTGAAGTTGTGCACAAAAAGTTATGGTGGTTACACTATAGGCTGCCCGGGAAGGTCTCTAATACACAGGGTTGACTTTGAAAGCTTATATCTCGCAATGTATAAGGAGTCAGGAAATGAACAACATATGAAATTATAGCTCTATGTGTCTAGTTTTCAGAACATCAAACCATTTGTAATTTGGAGTTGTGTGCAAAAAGTTATGACCGTTATACTGGAGGCTGTCCGGAAGAGCTGGGAACTGTTCATCGCGATTGCGAAGCATTGACCGCGATCGCGAAGAGTAAATTTTGGGCTGGAAAAATTGTTCTCCGCGATCGCGAAGCATTTTCCGCGATCGCGAAGAGTAAATACCTGGGCAGAATGTTTTAAAACACGTCAGTCGCGATTTTGGGGTCATTTTACACCCATAGTTGCTCGTTTTTGGAGATTTTTGGAGGAGATGAAAGAGGGATTCAAGAGGAATCGACTTAAGGTAAGAATCTTTGTCTTAAAACTCGATTATATTGTGAAATCCACCTAGAAATTCATGGAATTAAGCCTAAAATAGATGAGCTAGCGCTTGGAATTTTGAGAATTTAAATTGGGATTTGAGGGAGCATTTGGACTCCGATTTTGGTAAATTTAATATGTACGGACTCGTGGCGAGAAGACGAATCCGGTGATGTGAGTTTTGTAATTTTTCGAGAAGTGGGCCCGGGGCTCGGGTTTTACTAGTTTCGAGATTTTTGCTATATTTTGATTGTTTTCGATTGGGTATTGTTCCCTTGGCATAGTGTGATGTATTCGCTCTGATTTTGGTTAGATTCGATGCACGTGGAGGCCGATTGGAGGGGCAAAGGCGTCGCGGGCTAGAGATTTTGCCGGTTCGAGGTGAGTAATACTTGTAAATGATATCCTGAGGGTTTGAAACCCCGGATTTGCACATCATAGTGCTGTATTGTGGTGACTTGCACGCCAGGTATGAGCGTGGGATAGAGCACCGTTGGGGATTGTGACTTAGTCCGTCCCGGTTGTTGGTTTTATTGCGTAATTGACTGAAACTACTTGTTATCATCATTATTTGGGTTGATTGCTATATTTGGGCTTCGTGCCAATTATTTGAATCCTTTAGGGATTATTATCACTATTTTCATGACACTTAGCATATTAAATGATTTCAGTCCTGAGTTAAACCCTGTTTTGAAATGTGTAGTCATATTGCTAAAGTTTAAAGACTTAAATTGCATTTTTCTGATGTTTTGAGTTAAAAACTATTACATGACATTGCCCGAGTGGCTCATTTGCATGTTCTGGACTGAGGATGGATCGGGCTGCACGCCGCAGCGAT